CAGATAAAAAAAGAAGTTTGTGCTACTCCATCTAAACCAATGGCTGGGTTGTAGTGGCATGCACTTCCTATGAAGGAAGCACAATGGCTGGGTACAATGACTCTTACTCCTGTCATCACCAGGGACTACTCAAGGAAGCATAAATGAGAGGATGGTAGCTCAAGCCTTCCCCAGCATAGAGATTTTGCCTCAAAAATAAACAAAAAGGGGATTGGAGGCATGACTCAAGTGGTAGAACATCTGCCTAGCAAGTGAGAGGCCCAGAATTAAGTCCTCAGTATCACGGGAAAAAAAGTGCATTGGGCACCAGTGGCCTATACCTGTAATCATAGCTACTCAGGAGGCTAAAATCTGATCACTGTGATTCAAAGCTAGCCTGGGTGGAAAAAAATCTGTGAGATGCTCTTCAATGAACCACCAAAAAGCCAAATGTAGAGTTGTAGCTCTAGAAGTAAAGCACTAATGTTGAGGGAAAAAGCTAAGGAACAGCACCAAGGTCTTGAGTTCAAGCCCCAGTATTGGCACAAAAAATGGAAGTATGGCTCAAATGGTACAGTGCCAGCTTTGAGTGAAAATTTCCAAGTGAGAGTGCAAAGCTCTGAGTTCAAGCACCAGCATGTGAAGTATTAGCATACCTGCCAGTAGAAAGTAAAATGTCACAGACAACTATTATTGTTGTTGTGGTGATGATGATGATGACGACAATGACAACATAGTCATTCAATATTAGGTCTCTACTAGCTGGTGTCAGGTGCTGATCTGGGATAAGCAGTGATGAAGTAGACAGTTTCCCTGGCATCAAGGAGCTCTAGATCTAGTCAGAAACAGCTATAAATGTAAGCACAAGCAGAGGCAGATGAATAAAATGCTGGAAGAGTAGAGGAGTGAATCTCCCCTACAGAGGGCCTCTCAGGGCTGAGACTGTGGCTTAGTGGTAGAGTGCTTGCCTCACATGCATGAAGGCCTGGGTTTGTTAATTTTATCTAAGTCATATTATTTGTCACCGTAAAATTATTCAAGCCATTTTCAATAAATGTTATGACTGTAAGGTTAATAAGGATGCTTCTATAGCCGGGCACCAGTGCCTCACAACTGTAATCCTAGCTACTCTGGAGGCTGAAATCTGAGAATCATGGTTCAAAGCCAACTCTGGGCAGGAAAGTATATGAGATTCTTACTCCAATTAACTACCAAAAAGCTGGAAGTATGGAAGTGGTGTGCTGTGGCTCAAAGTTGTATAGTGCTAGCCTTCAGCAAAAAAGGAGCACCCAGGGCTGGGAAGGTGGCTCAGTGGTAGAGCGCTTGCCTTGCATGCATGAGGCCCTGGGTTCAATTCCTCAGCACCATACAAGCAAAAAGAAAAAAAGCCGGAAGTGGCGCTGTGGCTCAAGTGGTAGAGCACTAGCCTTGAGCTGAAGAGCTGAGGGACAGCGCCCAGGCCCAGAGTTCAGGC